CCCATGGCCCCCTCCCCCCTCCTCCAGCTCCCTTTCCCCCACCCCCCTAATTACCCTGCAGCAAACAGGGACTGCCCAAATCTCTGAAGCTCTCAGAATGTTTTCTAAATCAATTTGGAGAGCTTCGAATTGATTCGGACCTTTTAATTGGTCTCCTGATTTGATTCGGATTTGGAGAGTTGGCCACCAAATCAGGCTGAATCTCCTCCGAATCAAATCAGCACCTGAAGCTTTGCACAGCCCTATTAGATATTAGGAAAAATCTCTCACTAGTAGGGTGGTGAAACACTGGAACAGGTTACCCAGAGAGGTTATAGAATCTCCATCCTTAGACGTTTTTAAGCCCCAGGTAGACAATGGCTGGGATGATATAGTTGGACTGGACTAGATGACCTCTTGAGGTCCCTTCCAACCCTAATTTTTCTATTATTCAAGGACATGACAAAGGAAGGCCGAAGATGCACAGGGTGAGTGGCCGTAGAAAGGTGCCATGGGAATTCCTGAAAGGTCAGCTTGTCATCAAGCATAGCTGGCTAAGGCATGCAGTGCTCAGCATGCAGCTGAACTGGCCTGTGGGCTCACTGAGCAGGGGGATCTGAGTGACTCCCTTGTTCCAAAGCCATCAGGAGCTGCAAGTGCAGAGTGATGTGTCCATCCTGTGTAGGGAGGGGTTGCTTCTTCTGGCTAATACATAGCTTTGGCTGTTTACTGCTTGCAGGGGTGTTGGTGGGCTGTCCCTGAGACAGAGCCTGGGCACTGCAGTAGAAGGAGTACTCACTGTAAAATGGCACAGTACTGCCAGACTTGCTGGGTTGACCCCCATGAGGACAAGCTCCATTGGATTCATGGAGGCAAATCCCTTGCTGGCTGACACATTACTCTTTGGGTGGGGCTGTTAAGTCAGTCCAAATCTGGCTTTCCAGGGTGGCAGGGAGAGGAGGTGACTAAATGCAAAATACAAAAAATGTATCTTGTCCATATGAACCTGCTGTTTCTTGTTCTCTTCCCCTGCCAGTTCTTCCCCATGAGGCAACTTTTTGGCAAACCTGAGACAGAATGGAAGCCAAGCTCCTGGGCTATCATGTGCATGAAGAGTGAAGTTTTTTGGAAGCATACTCCAACCCCTCATATATCCTGATGTGGCCTGACATCCTGGCTTCAGCCTGCTTCCTTGGCCAGGTTGTGGAGAGATCCAACATTGCTGCATTGAGCTGCCTACAGTAGCAATCAGTGCTTGCTTGGCTTTCCTAGCATGTAGCCTCATATGCTCCAATCCTTGGCAACATTCCTCTGCCCCATCAGCAGCTAAGAAGGAAAGACATACTTTGAACCATACACGGCCCTTCCCAGTGCAGCCTGGAGGGTGGGAAGGCTGCTCCCACCCCTCACAGGGTTGCTCTGGGCCCTCCTCCAGGTCTGTGTTACAGGCAATGGCTGAAAAGGAAGAAAAATGGAGCTGGTGTTATGAGATCATGAAGAGCAGAGCTCTCCCTCTCTGAAGGGAGGAAAGAGGTGGAGTGATGGGGGTGGCGGGGAGGGAAAAAGGGTGGGGGGAGGGGATAACAAGGGGGGATGACAGGGAGGAAGAAAGAGATGTAGGGCCGGGATCAGGGAAGGAAGGGCCACAGATGGAGGGCAGAGAAGGATTACCCCTCTATAATCACATCACAGCACCACACAGTCAGAGGAATGGAAAAGTGGTGGCCACGTCCAAATGGGGTGGATGAGCCTGTGGAACTCACTGCCATGAGATACCAAAAGCCTGGTAGGATTCTGAGAGGGTATGGACATTTCTACAGACCACAAACATATGGAGAGGAAAACAATAAACAAGTCTCAACCCTCCCACATCTGGTCACAAACAGGTCTCCAACAGATGGGGGCATGGTGACACCTTCCTTGCAGGTTGTGCCAGTGTTCCTACATATTCTGCTGATACAGCTGGTGCTGGGCACTGTCAGAGATTGGCCAGTGAGCTGGCTGGAGCCTATTCTTATGCAGGGGTGCCTCACCCTGTACCTCAGGTTCTGGGGCTTCGTGCCTCACACTGCAGCAGCAGGGGCTAATGCTCAGTTGAGGAGCCTGATGAACATCACATGGAAAGGAAGCTACTTAGACAGATTAAATGAATTAAGATAGCCCTTGGGTGAAGTCTTTTAATGTTCTACAGAGGGTTATTTGGATGATCAATTTAAATGAAAGGGACAGGAGCTTCGTTTTCTTTTTCATTTATTAGCGGCACCAGGGCACTTGCTTAGCTCAGGGAGGCAGGGTCTGTGTGTAGAAGAGTATCAGTGGAGAGGAGGGGGACAGGAGGTTACTGTAGACAAGGCTCTTACCCTTTCTCTTTGAGTGTCCCGTAGCTCCTGTAGGAAACCTCTTAAGGTGTCCCGGACAACTTCAGGGTCAATCTCACTCACACTCACTCTGGAAGGCGAGGTCCACCTGCAGGGGGAGTGGGAACAGCTCCTCTCTGGAGAGCTGGTGCGGGAGCCTGGAGTCCCTTGCCCATCAGGTCCTGTGGGGGTCATGGAACAATTAAAGCCTGGGCAAAGGGATGGTGTGTTGGGCACTGAAGTGACTGACAAGGTTAACCCCCACTATGTGCTCAGGGTAGGTGCTATACTGAGTGGCTGGCTGCAGGGCAGCTGTGATACTGTAAGCAGGAGATTGTAGTTCTCTCCATGAGCCAGCCTGGGGTGAGTCCTGGGGCCACTTCGCATAGGTACCAAGACTCTTGCCTCCCAAGCAGTCCCCACCTTATCCCCTACCCAGTGTCAGAGCAAAAGCTGCTGCCTGGAACTTGATCCCTTAAGGCCTCCCTAGCTACCCTGCCAGGTAACTGCTCTCATGGTGGCCCCTCTCCTCCCGGCAAGGCCCACATCACTACAGCACAGGTCCTACCAAGATGGTCTTTATCTCAAGCCTGGGGAAGCTGTGGGGGTTTCTCATAATTTATCCCTGAACTGCTAAAACTGGTGGGCCTGACAGAGATTGAAATCAGGCAAGTAGTTGCTCCCCTCAGCCCATGCCCAAAACCCACTCACTCAGCTGCCCTCACCCAGTGCATTCCTCAGGTCTGCACCAAGGCTGCTGCTGACCTTTGGAAGGGGAGCAGGGTCTCTGTGGAGAGGGGCTCCTCCTGCCCAGTCCCAGGGTCCGACGTAGAGCTGAGTGCAGTGCCCCCAGCTTGGACTCTGCCTCTCTCCTGGCAGCCTCTGCCTTGACCAGCTCTGCTTCCAAGCCATGCAGGCGCCCCTCGGCAGTGCTGAGGCGCAGCTGGAGGCCCTCACCCACCCCACTGGCCTGCTGCATCTTCATCTCCAGGTTGTGGAGCTCATCCCGGAGCTTCTTCTCATTGCTGTGACTCTCCGCCAGGCTGTCAACCAGCTCCTTTTCTGTGGCTCTGGTTTCTGCCTCCACCTCAGTCAGTTTCCTCTGCAGGCTCAGCACCTGGAAGGTGGGGACAGTCAGGATGTTGCTGTGTCCCACAAAGCCTTGGGGCATCAATGCTGTGCTGCCCTGCTGTACTCTGGGTAAGGTTCTTTGGGGCATATGTGATGGGGGAAGGGGTTCCTTATGTATAGCAGGCTGAGCACAGCCAGCCAAGACCAGAAACTTTCTGCATTCTGAGGGGGCAAGTTCAGAGCTGTCACTCTCCACCTCCATGGCAGACAGAGCCTTGGAGCAATCTCTGGAGAGCTGCAGGGCTGCATTTATGGACAGGCCATAGAGGCCATCCCCTCTGTCATGAGGCAGAGGGCTATAGCATTGATGACTCCCTGTGGTCTCCCAGAGGGCGCCTACATGGGTGACATGCGTAGCTTCCAACTGAGAGACTGCCCTGCCCCCTCCTCTGTTCTGCTCACTCCCTTATCCTTTCTGCTTCCTCCCCTCACTTGCTCCCCCATCCTGTTTATCCTATTTAAGCTATACTGGTGCCTGGCTCTGGGGCGCCCCAGCCCTGCCTAGCTGTACAGGGCCTGCCTGTCACACCTCCTTGCGTGCGTGGTCCTGGCTGGTCTCCAGCTCTGTGATCCTCTGCTTCAGCTCCAGGGCCTCCCGGCGGCTCAGCTGTTCACGCTGCTCCTCCTGCAGGATCCGGGCCTGCAGTTCGCTCACCTCTTTGCTCTTCTTGCTATTCTCACTCCCCAGAGTCTTCACCTGCAAAGGGGATGGGCCACATTCACCACTGGCTTTGTAGGATGGCCCATGTTGAGGGGCACGACTCTGCCCAGCAGCCTCTATAGGGAAGGCATTAATGGCCACTACTGCTACCCTGGATGAGGCCAGGGCTGTTTCTCCCCGGCAATGGTGATTTGGACACTGATAAATGGTCCCTTCATCAATGTGGTGCTCCCTTTGCTGGTGAAGTTCTTCGCTGGTGCAGCCAGGTTAGTCATCTGTGGCCTGTACTGGACACAGCATGGAGCCTGCCTGCTCAAGGTCTTGAGGGAACTAGGCTGTGACCTGTTAGGGGTCAGATGCATGCTCCTCTCTGCCATCAGCTGGTTCCAGTGGCCAAAGAGGACAAGGAACAAGTCAAGGACATTATGGGAAGGCTCTTACTGTAAGCCTCACACTGGGGGACTGACGCCAAGGGCAACCCTAGGTCTTTATGGGACAAGGAAGTGTGTGAGGTGGAGAGAACCCTCATCTTCCTCAGAGATGCACTCGGCACCAGCAATGGATTTCAGCTGCTCCCAACTCTCTCTCTTGGCCTCATGCTGCCATCCCTCCTCCTGGTTTTATTCCATGGGGGAAGGGTCCCCATCAGGTGACCAGGCGTGGCCACAGACAGGTGCTGCAGACTCGGAATCCTCAGCTGAGAGGAGAGCATGCAGGGGTGTGGGAGTGTGGGGGGCAAGATGAAGCTGGGGCCTGGCAAGCACATGCCCACAAGTAGCCTGCACTTGCCTGCCTGCGCAGTTCTTGCAGCTCCCGCCGGGCCATCATCCGTGCCTTCTCCACCTCGCGCAGGTTTGCTCTCAGCTCTCCCACCTCTTGCTGAGACGAAGCCTTTGCTTCCTCCAGGATGGCAATCTTCTGCTCCTTCTCCTCTTTGGCTCTCTTAAAGCTGAAGCAAATGTGCATATTTCTATGGACTGGGGGACAGCTGAAGTGTTGTGATCAAACTCTATCTGTGTTAGCATTGGGCAGGGAAGGGGTGCCTTTGCTGCGGGGTGGATGTGCACACAGCCTCTGGCCTGCAGGGACATCTAGAGAGGGAACCTGTGTGGGAGTTCTGTGATGGCTTGGAATGCAAGCAGAGCAGGAAAAGAATGGGCCTGTGCTCCTGGGACCCATTCCAAGGAGTCCCAGAGCGGCCCCTGGCATAGGCTGGCACCAGGCCTAGACCCAGAGAGAGAGAAATGTGGCTTGGACAGTAAGGATTCCTGATGGAGGGAAGCAGCTGCCCCAGGCTTGCCTGGGTACACTGCTAGTTGTACAGCACCGGAGTGTCTGCAGTGTGCCCTGCACTTAGCTGGGGACAGGCATGTATGGAAGCACCTCTGAGTCTTAGCTACTAATCCCACCCCATGGCTCCAATCTGGCACCACACTAATAGTCGCTGGCAATGCTCTGACCCCACCAGCCTACCCAAGCACTAGGGAGAGTCTGCTGTACAGCAGAGCCTGCCAGGGAGGGCACTCAGCCTACCTAATCCTTTCACTTTCCGTCTTCTTTATAACAGCCCGGAGCTCAGTGTTGGATTTCTGCAGTGCTTCCTTCTCCCTGGTCTCGTCCCCCATGGCCCTGCGGATGCCCAGCATCTCCTGGCGCTGACGCTCACGGGCCTCCTCACCCTCCCGCAGCTGGCGGTGCATCTCGATCAGCTCCTGGCGCACCCCACTGTGGGCATCCTCCACCAGCTGCAGCTGTGTCTGAAGCTGGTCTGCCTGTTGGGGGATGGACACGTGTCCCTGGGCTCTGGCCCATGAGCAGTGCACAAAGGTGGGGGCAGCCTCCCTCAGGACTATTGCTGGGATGGGTGGATCTAACCCTGATCCCCAAGGAGAAAGTGGCTATAGGGGTACGACATCCTTACTCTTGGCAAGGGGTGCTCAGTGGGGCACTGACCAGGTCCCACTAGTGTCCAAGGAGATTGTACCCTTCTCCTCAGGAGGAGAACTCAGTACCTTGAGGACAGTGCCCGTTGCTTCAAAGTATATTAAGAAATGTGCCCTCCCCCAGCCCACAGGTCTGTAGATGGTGACTTCTCGGCCATCCTGGGACTGGGGACAGAGGGATTAGGGAGCCCAAATCACCCGCATTGCAGCCACTGCTCAATGGCTAAAGCAGCACACTGGCTAGCCAAGCTGCCTTGTCTCCTCAGAGACTTTGCTCTTCCTTCATGCACCAGCTCAGCAAACATGGAGACATCACAGGGTGCCCTGGAGGGCACATCTGTTCATGTATGAGGACACATCCCAGGGTGTTATCAGCTTGAAAGGGAATGACTCCCAGACAGCAGGAGCATCACTGCTGTTTCCAAAACTGTGGTCCCTAGAAGTCCAGGCTCAGACCCCAGCCCTGCTGTGCTGGGTGCTGTGAGGGGCACTCCTTGCCCCAGAAGGTGGGCAGGTAAATGGAGGAATCAAGGGGTGATGTGATGTGTCCAGTGTTTGTGTCAGAGATGTATGGGGAAACCCCAACCTTGGAGCTTATTCACTGGTCCACACAGGCCTAAGCAAGCCCCCTCCCTTTGTAAAGAGGGAGGGGAATGAAGGTTGTTTAGTGATCTCTTGGGGATAAGTCAGCTGTGTGGGTGGGGAAAAAGCTGGGCAAAAATCTCCTGGTGCTTGCTTAATTGATTTTGCTCCCTTATTAAAAAACTGCCTCAAAATTATCCCACTCCTTCAGTTCTGTCCTTGGGTCTCTCTCAGGGGAAGGGGTGGAACAGGCATTTCTGCAGGAACCTAAAGTCACTAGATTCTTTCTTTCTTTCTTTCAAGATGGCCGCGGACAGGTGAAGCTCTTCTAAGCTCCTGCAGCTCAGGTGCTTTCAGCTCGTTGCCCCGCACTGCCTGCCCCCCTTTT